GTCCATACAAATGACAAAAGTATTAGAATTACAACCGTTAAAAAGTTTTAATTTTTATATCGCCATATTTTTATTTAAAACATATTCTTTTCTCCCGCCATTACTAGCTTAAAAAAATCTCCGGTCGGGCCGCAATGCATTATGGGGCATGCTGGGCCAGGAAGGATCCATCAGACCAGTCCTTCAAATTGGGGAAAAGGAAGGACATATATGTCGAATTCAGCCTTCGGAGGACCTGGCCTGACGTTTTGGACACAGCCGTAGGTTTCCATTTTCGGCAGGTTTCTAAGGTTCTTCGTCTATATATTAAAAAAGTTGTTAAACATCAGAGTGGCGTATTACCGCTACTAGTGGTGAGAAAGTGTTTTGCACCTTATTCAAAATCAATGCGGTCTCACGGCCCTCTGCGCCTAAAGTTAAAAACTGTTGTTCCCTCAAGATCGCGCTCCCATAGGTTAAGAATCTCTGTTTTAAGGGACCTAAAATAATGAGACAAGTTAACAAGAAATAATCAAATATTCACTTTGGGTTGCAAATCCTTTGGTGTTATTTACAGCCTCAWGTCTGGACTGCATCATCACCAGACATTGGGTTTCATCTCTGGTGATGCTCTGCCAGGCCTCTACTGCAGCTGTCTTCAGTTTCTGCTACTTCATGGGGCCTTTTCTTTTCAGGTTTGTCTTCACCAAATAAAATGCATGTTCAATGGGATTCAGTTCAGGTGAATGACTTGAATAACATTCCGCTTCTTTGCCTTACAAAAGTCTTTGGTTGCTTTGGCTGTATGATTGGGAACACTGTCCCTCAGCACTATGAAGTGCCGCCCAGTGAGTTCTGAAGCATTTGAGTGAATATGAGCAGATTATATTGCCCAAAACCAGTGGTAGGCACTAGGGTTGGGCATAATCGTATCGTGTGCAATTAATCGTCAGAAAAACATTAATCGATTACTTTTTGGCACTTGACGATTAATACGATTAATGCCACCAGGCAGACTGACTGGGGATTACTCGGGTCAGTCCGCTCGGTTCTCCTCTCCATTTCAAATATGACGAACATTGAAATTAAAGTTCTGTATTTATTTATGTATCAACACAATTTTAACTTTGACGTATAGCCCGAAGTCTGTAATTCTGGCACAACTTGGAACAGATTTTTACGAAGAGCAAATCTTACCCACTAAATTGGTCATGTGACTAGGACACAAGGGTGTCCAGGGACACCAGGGGATTAATCGTCAAATTAATCGTTATCGGCTAGCTACCCCAATTAATCGTGATTAATTATTTTGCTAATATTGCCCAACCCTAGTAGGCACTAGTCCCCTAAAGCACAAATGCACTAATTGTGGACCTAGATTTCTCCTTTGCGCTTTAGTGGTTTTATTAATTTCTTTAAATGATGTGCATATTTGCACATTCTAAATTTAAAAATGAGTAGTGCTAATTGCAAATAATGTTTCACATTTGATCGTCAGTTTCATCTAAAGTAAAGGGAAAGTACTGTCTAAACTCACTATGTTTTGTAGAAACGTAATTCATTAAAACTTTGTCATCAGTTTCTTAACGTTGGAGGGGAAAGTCGTCTCTTCTTAACACAATGGAGCTCCACCGTGTGGAAACAGTGACCCTTCAGGCAACACTGTGCTCACAGAGCTTTATGCTCGCACTGATTCTCTTTCTGTGTGATGGTTTTCATTTAGTACGGAGTTCCCACAATTCTTTGCTGGCAGAAAGCAATTGGAGCTCTTCACTGGGCGACAATCCACCTGTGGTTCTGATCTGCAGAACCATGCTCAGCTGTGCAGTTTGTACGTCCTCTCTCCGAGGGACACCGCGGCAATAAATATTAAATAAATAAATAATAATAAATAAACACGGAACAGTTTAAATTCACGGTCTTATTTTGAAAAGAACGGGTTCCTGTTCTTCATCCTGTAGCCTACCCAGAATGCATCGCTACAGTTTTACAACAAACAGTTTAAAATTACTAATATATCTGGAAACTGTCTTACCGAAGCCCCACCGTAAACATAAGGAAATGACCAAGAAGCAGCAGAACTAGCAATCCACAACTATTTTTCGACTAATCCCCCCCCCCAAATTGTGACAACGTGCCAATCTGTGAAAGAAAATGTTCTTTCCACCAGATGGAAGTAAAGTGCTGACTTGTCTCATACCTGAATGTTTTCTGGTAAATGGAGATAATCCTGTGCTTTATATTTAGCTTCTGCTAAGTTTTATTGAGCATATGTTACTTTGAACTTGCAGATCTAAATAAACTGACTAGCATTTTAGAAATTGTGAAACTAAAATTTGAATTAGCACTGCCCACCACTGACCAAAACACTTCAGAATTTATTCAACAGCTTTTGTCAGCTGAAATACAGCCAAACACATGCGTCATTTATGAACCTGACAGTACAAAGATGAAAACTGGTATAGTAGTAATCAAGAACAATCTTATCAAATTCTGAATACAAAATGAAAATTTAAGATGGTCATCCAGGCTTATTTGTAATAACTATGGTTGGTCATTTTAAGACATATTGATCTGAACTTTGGTGTGGTGGTAGCTGAGAACGATCCCCATCACATACTAACTCCAAATCAAAAATCAACAGTGTGCACCATAGCTTAACTCAGACTTGTGTGGCGAGCCCTTCAAAGTTACTCAAGGAACTTTTCTAGTTTATAATTGTTATTTATTTTAATTTTTCTGAACTCCTGCTTTAAACAGGGAAAACAGGTCTACAAAAACACACCTCACATTGGAGTCCAGGCTGATATTCATCTCACAGCTCAAGATTGAGGCAAGTGGAAGCTGAGCCAAGACACACATGCTGTTTACTTCCTCTGACCGTCGCAAAACCACTGTTAGCATTTTGTCATCGTAGAAGCAAGCATCCAAGCAGCTGTTGACACAATGAGACCTTAAAGAGAAACTGACTCTAAATTATAGTGCAAACACCATTTTACAAGGTGATATCATGAATAAATCCTGACTCCAGAACAAGATAAGCAGCACTTACAGGGTTGCATCACTGTCCACAGCAGTAGTGTCGAGATAATGGCTGAGGTCAATTGACATCAAACTGTTTGGTACATGTCTGTAAAGACAAATGTGAATATAAAGAATGTGAAATAACCAAGAAAAAGCACACAAACTCCCAGACACCTTGATATGTACCTGTTTGAATCAGTTCCTTTCCTTAACAGATAGAGCTTGCATGGTGAAATCTCTGGCATGCAGAACACAACACAGTGCATTTTGTCTTTTTTATTGTTCCACCTGTGGGTTTARAGCAAACATGTTCTAAACACAAAGCAAATTTACTGTTACAGATACAAAACTGATGTTTGTGTTACACATACAAGGATGGAAAATCAAAAAGTCGTGGCGTGTTTTCCATCCTAAAGAAACAAAAACATAATCACATTAATTACACCTCATTAAATTTTAAAAAACATTATAATGTTAATATCATAAGAAGATATAAATGTTACTTCTCTGGCACGGCATACAAACGCAAAAAGACAGTCTGTTTTACAGATTTCCCAATGACTTCCTGCAAACAAAAGAACATGTTTAGGAGGAACACAAGATGTGCCTAGACAATGAATGTCACAGTTACTGAGTTTTAAAATGAAATGTTTGTGTGTTAATGAAAAAGGAAATCTGTGGCACACAAAAACTCACAGAGGGCATCTGTAGGCAGAGTTCAATTACATTCTCCATCATCTTCTTGACAAAGTGCAAAGACTTTTGTGGATATGATGGAAACACCAGAGGACTGTCTAAAGAAACACACATACACACACATTATATTTAACTCATTTTCTAACAAATCAATTGTTTAAACTCAAGATCATTGTTTACCTTTCAGATGTGTGCTCTCCTGTAAAAACTTCAGCCACTGGTTGCCCTTTGTGTTGGGTGGGGACACAAGGTCTTCGTCCTCATCTTTTAGGTACTATAAAATGTCCAAATAGAAGATAAACCAGCGTTTAGGATGGTACTTCTCAGGGTTCGACAAGATTTTTTTTTTTACCTGCCATGTCGCGCAGGTAATGCAAAATGTTACCTACTCAACATTAAAGGTTACCGGCCCAAAACAAAAATGTTCGAAATTGAACGAAATAAAAGGAAAAATGTTTTCTGTACTTTTTACTACAAATACGTTACACACAGAGTACATAACAGATGACAATCTGATTAAGCAGATGCAAACATTGCAGATTGAGTCACTCACTAAGTCGGTCTGTTTTATTATCAAAAACATGATAAATATCTTCAATAAACTCTTTCCCCGAGAGTACTGGMCTTACGAGGGAGGGGATTGTTTATGAACACAGAACATTGATTGACAGCAGAAATATCACTAGAATTTATTAAGAGTGCAAAATTTCAGAACACAAAGTCTTAAGGCCTATCCCATTTCTAATGACACATGTAGGATATCTCAAATAATGATGTSATTTAAGATATCTCGAACTGGAACCTCCTTAAAACTTAACGGTAAATCTGACATCATTTATATTACCAGTGGTCAAAATGTGACTAGAGATATCTCTAAGTATTTTGCCTTGTTTTATTTTTTATTTATTCTTTTATTTAATTCAAAAATACAAAAAAATCTATGTATAGTATTAAAAATCTAAGTAAATTATGCTCTGAAGGAAAAAAATGCAGAGAAGAAAAAATTCTCATAATTTCTGCCTTTTATTTTCTAAAAAACTTCAACCAACAAACAAGTTCAAGCTGGAAATATCAACAAATTTAAAGAAATAAAACATATGTCCCCTGACACAATTTCAGTTAGGCATGTGCAAAGTAACTTTTCTACAGTGGGAGGGGGAAATTATGAGGATTTATTCTCTTTATTCATTCAAAATGCTATTTTTCTTCATTTAAGATTTTTTATTTTATAAAAATGGCAATATAAAGAAGTTAAAGAAATGATTTACTTGCCCGGGCAGTCCTATTTGTCAAACTCTGGTACTTCTACTCACAAATATTTGAAGCTATTTAGTACAAAATTATGGTACTTACCTGACCAACTCGCTCCACATTGAAGTACTTTCCCTTACGACTAAAGAGTTCTTCATTCTGTTAATCCACAAAACAGTAAACATCAATAATAAAACAACATTTGTTGGTCAGTATTTAGCCTGCTAAATGGCCTGAACATCTGTCTCTTTTCCAGTAGCGTCTCTACAGCATGAATCGACTTGGATGAACTTTGTTCAGCACTTTGGGTGGTTTTCCATTACACTTCTGTAAAAGCTCTAGTCGGTGGGTTCAATGTAAAGTTGGGAGGTCTCAGAGTCTGAAAACTGATGCCACACGACTTATGAGCTGGTGGCTATTTGCCAACCACCATTAAACATAGTAGTAGAAGAAGACCCTGAAAAGATGTGCAACAACAAATGGTGGATCAGATTGTTGTGAAAGTAGCTCTTGTGATGCAACCAGTGACTCCACCCCCTAACCAATCAGTGACAGACGGTCTTCTGACGTTGCATTTTTGGGCCAGGACTTGGAACCACAGTGAAGTACGTTCTGAAAAAGGGTTGGTTCCATGAATCCTTGCTAGTGGAAAAGCCTTGGAACCAGCTTTAGAGCAAAAAGCCTGCTTTTCCTCTGCTTTGAGTCTTAACTGCGCCTCTGTGTTGTGAAAAATGCCAATGTTCCAAATCCAGTTACCTCCTCACTCTCTCACCGTATGAAACTTCACCCAGTTGTGACCACTCCTCACGGGCACGCTGCTGAACTGTGATCCTAGTCAGAATCACATCCAGTCTGCGACTTATATCCCCCAGCAATTGAGTCTGTACATTTCCATTATGGGAGATTCCATCCACTGTCCCTGACAGCTTTTCACAGGCCCGGACTGCTGTCAGTATAGTTTTCATTTTCCGATAAACCAGAACTCCTCCACAGCCGATCAGAAGGAATCCGATTATCATAAATCCGAATATAAACACATCTTCGATGTCTTCAATGGAAAGCGGGTCCAAGCAGATCAGGTTTCACCCCCAGCTCCCCAACACGCCCGGCCGCGACGGTTCCACTGGGACAGCAGCGCTCCCCTCGCTCCAATTTCAATGTTGAAAAAATAGTGTTGATTGCATTCAGAGACCAGTTCACCAGATCCATTATTCTTTTGTTGTCGAATGATAGGCAGAAGAAAGGCTTGATCCAGCAGCAAAGCAGGGAAAAGGGAAGTTCGGGAGAGAGAGCAAAACTTCTCTGAAGGCCAAGCAGAGAAAAAAAAAGAAAAGAAGAAAAAACACTGTCTTGTGCCCTGAGATGATGTATGTTGTGACTTGGCACTATAGAAATAAACTGAAATGAATTGAATTGTAGAGGTGCTAGAGGAAAAGAGCCATCATATAGTGCTTTATCAAGTCCCTAAAGACTGAAAAGCACTTTACATGACAAACATTGACTGTGTTTCAATTCAGGGGCTGCAGCCTACTTAGACTGTGACACAAGTCCACAGCCTACGTGGGCCGTGTAGGCTGCACAAAAGGACTGTGAAACAAGGTGCTCTCGTCTTCGAATGAAGACCATGCGGTACTCCGTTACAATAGTGATCGGTTTTATATCACATACCTTCAGACTTAAAATGCATTGGGACCCATATGGTTAAAATGTCTTTTCACTAAACGTTACTCTACACTGACATGGTAAACAAAACAACTCAGCCGTCTTTGTTTTTCTGTTTAGTTTTATGAATGAATCTTTGGATATCCTCAGCCAGGAAGGAGACACAGATACAGCCTTCATTTTTTAATTTTGTGGGAAACGAGAAGGAGCCCACGTAAGCAGCTGACAAATGCACACTCTGGAGGATGCAGCCCCTGAATTGAGACAGATATTTACAAATTTGCATACACATCCACACACTGATGATGGTAAGCTACACTGTAGCCACAGCTGCCCTGGGGCTGCCATGCAGAGGAGCTACTGGCTCCTCTTAACACCACCAGTAGGCAAGGCCACAACAACTGCGATGGATGGAACAGGGGTCGAACCAGCAACTTGTTGGGTACCCAACAACTTCCCTAGTCAGTGAGTTAATCAACTTATCTTACCTCACTAAAGTGTTCAGATAAGAAATCTGCAACAAAGGCGATGTCCTTCTGAGTCATCTGAAAAAAGAAAAATGAAACATTCAAACCATTTCTGAAGACAACAGGTTTAAATCTGTGATGAAACTCACCTTATTTAACTCCGGTGGTACATGCTCATCACACATTCTTAGCATTGCTGCAGAAGAAAAAAAAACACAGCATCAACACACCGAACAAAATTAAAACTTATAAGATCTTAAAGGCTTCAAACTACAAATGATAATTATAACAAACAAGTCATATTTAAAAATAAGACTCTCACCCACATACAGCCACCGAAAGAAGGCCTTGAAGTTTTTCATACTTTTGTCAATAACCCTAAATGTGAAACAAAAGTTGTAATATAACAAAAATAAAAAGGTCCCAATCAGAAACAGTTCATGTTTATGTTCACAAACTTACTGCAGAAGTTCATTGGCTTTGAGAGAGAAAAATCCCACAGCAGTGATGGCACCTGCACATGACACAAACATGTCTTAACAGCAACATAACTGATTTGAAAAACTCTGAATGCAATCTTGAGTGGGTAAGAAAAACTGCACCATCAATGGCATCTGAATCCAAACCGAGGGGCTCAAACTTCTGCTTCCATAAAGACATTCCTCTCACCTCGCTGAGGTGATACAGCAGAGCCTCTGAGCCGCTGCAAGACACAGGGAGAGGTTTTATTTAACAAGAAAACATCGGGTGGCTGTCAGACACGGTGATGACATGTAGCAAATCATAAAATACCTCTGCAGGTGACTGATCACTAACTTCTGAATGCTGGAGTAAGAAGACTCGATGGACTGACCAAGTTTCTTCAAGCCCTGAGACAGAATTGTAACACATTTAAAAAGTGCTTTTCAACTACAAGGCCGAACAGATTTGGTCTGCATCATTCAGATTTATATGGTTCAGCTTCTCTTGTCTCACCTTGACAGTCAACTGATTCATGAGAAGAGCCTGTAGTTCAGGACTGAAAACAAAATGGGCGACAATATTTAGCACAAATATCAAAACGAAATCCTTTATGTTAAACCTAAAAAAACATCTAGTTTTCACACTGTAGAGTCACAATATCCCATTTCACAGAAGCTGTCATGTTGTATTGTTGGGACCAGAGTGGGTGTGAAAATGACGTGTTTTTTTGTTTAAATGCGTCATTCAGGGTGGCAGCACATCGGAGTAGCTTTGTTACTTTCATTAAGATTTTTTTTCTTAAGCTAATTAACATAGCAAAAGCTGAAATACCACAATCGAAGCCACAAATCCCAGAGGAGTTGAAAATGAGGAGATGTGGATGCACAATGCTACATTTACACTAAACGCGTTTTGAGCATCAGGAGCATCTGGTTTACATGCAAAGTCAATGGTGGATGCGCATCTATGGGCGTCTAGAAAACGAGCAGCGCGGTTCGAAGCGGTGCACGCGTCATGAGCATTTTCCGTGGGTGCGGCACGTACCAAGCGTCTGACGCATGAATTGGAAAATCTGAACTTTTCCTGCTTGACGCATCACTTCAACCAATAAGAGAGACTCTGCTCAGTCACGCACTGGTGACAAGCCAGAAATACCGGAAGCCCGGGAATTCAGATCACACAAACAATGGAGGAAAAATTGATAGTCCGATCATTTATGATCATTCCAGTGTCCATTATCGTGATAGAAATAAAAAGGACTTTACCTGGAGGACGATTAGTGCGAAAGTCAGCATGTTTGGTAAGTTATCGAAACTACGGTTAAAAAGGCTCCTCCTCTTGAGCGTCTAAAGAAGCGTGTCTACATTCACATCAAATGTGTCTGTCCTCACTGGACACCAGTATCGAGATGCATGCGTTTTGAGATTTTTGGAGGCATGCAACGTGTTTGGTGTAAGCGTAGCATAACAGAAGCAAAGAGGCAAAAGAGAAGATGGAAGTTCAAACCATCTCTTCCATCAATCMTAATGGGCAATGTGCAATCATTAGMTAACAAACTGGATGAACGTCAAGCCCTGAAAAGGACTTCACGATCATATTCCTGACTCTGTCTCTCTGCCAGGCATTCAGACTATACGACCAGACAAAGATTTAAACAGCAGCAGGAAAAAGAAAGGAGGTGGATTAGCAGTGCTTGTCAACAACAGATGGTGTCATCCAGGACATGTTACTGTGAAGTTTCGTCACTGCAGTCCAGACAACGAACTCTTGGCAGTAAGTTTCCGTCCATATTATTTACCAAGATAGTTCACCAGTGTCATTTTGGCAATTGTTTACATTTGAAGCTACAAATTGGATTGTTCTTTGCCAGCCACAGGGAGATGACATACAGTAAATGTCATGGCTGAGTGTGATTGACTATATAATAGGGCTGGGCATTATTTGATTGCGATTATTTATCGAGAAAAATTTCAGGTCGATCACGGTGATCAGCTGTGAGCCTCTTTACTCAAACATGGCGGAAATGTGCGCGACAACAGCCAATCAGAATCCACCTTCTCCTGCCCCACTTCCGTTTATATGTTGCTAAATAAACGCAGACGGAATCGCAGAATTAACCAAAGTAATCCAGTATGAAACGCTGAATCTCACAGAGTTTGCTTATTTGGTTGAGTTTCTGAGGTATTGTGGCTGCTGTCACTTCCTGTACCAGATGTTACCTGCTAACAGGCATGCAGGGTGAGCTCTGAGCTCCCCTCCCGAGGGAGAGGGGGAAAAAGAAAAGTGAGCCGTGATGCGTGGCTCGCTAAAACAAAAGCGTCCTCCAAAAATAAGAAGCAGTCTAACGTGCAGGACAGAACAATGTTCCAGCGGTTCTTCATTTATCTGGAGAAAAACTTTTCTGTGAGTTTTATCAGCACACGATGGGCTGGACGCAACGTGGAGACCACTTCCTGTCTGAGTCGCATCACAAACAGCAGCTGAGAGACGCTGCAAACTCCTGGGGGTTCCTTCCATAACAAAAGTAATGAGCTTCGATCCTATTCAGTTGGTAAGTGTGCACAAATTGTTGCTGTTTTGTAGGGTTTGTGTTTCTTTATGACACATTTAATGTGAAATTCAATTCTAAAACTTTAATTCTACAATAGCGTAATTTTATTAATGTGAGATTCTATGATTTACACATAAATGTTTTTTTCTTAGTAAATATGGTTTTAAATACCTTGCAAAAATACTTTCATGTTCTACTGAACCACAGCTGTTTGTTATATCAGTGAAAGTGAAATAACAGCTATTTTTTTATTTTTATAGCTATTTATTTGTTAACTTATTTTTCAGTCACTTTTTAGGTTAACAAAAAAATTGTGATATTAATCGAGATTGGACGATATGAAAAAAAATTAATCGTGTTTTTTTTTTTGCCATATCGCCCTATATAAACTTTTGTGTGGAAAACACCATCCCCACCAGAACACTGACATGCTTCCCTAATAACAAACCTTGGATCACCAGTGAGCTAAAGGAACTGTTAAACAAGAAAAAAAGAGCTTTTAGGAAGTGAGACAGGAAGTTATTGAGGAGTATACAGAAGCAGCTCAAAATCCAGATGAGAGACCCCAGGGAGGTTTATAGAAGGAACCTGGAGAGTAAACTGAAAAGGAACAATATCAGAGATGTGTGGTCAGGGATGAAGAAGATCACAGGTTTCAAGCAAAAGGAGAATGGAATAGATGGAAATCTGGACAGAACAAATGAGCTGAACACATTCTTCAACAGGTTCAGCTCAGGAACAAGCTCATCTTCCTCCTCTCCTGCCTCCAGCCAAACAGATATCTCACCCTCCTTTGACCCACAGCTTTCCTGTCAAACCTCAGATGTTTTATCTTCAACCTCAGTCATGGACTCTTCTACATCCACAAGTTTGTCTTCAACTAAATCAGGAGATGCTGCTGCTCCCTTTGCCTCCCACTCCCACTTTTCTGCATCTATAAGTCAGGTGACGAGGCGGCTAGAGAGACTGAACCAGAACAAGGCTGCAGGTCCAGATGGTGTCAGCCCCAGAGTCCTGAAGGCCTGTGCAGACCAGCTCTGTGGGATTCTGCAACACCTCTTCAACCTTAGCTTGACCCAGGAGAAGGTGCCARTGTYGTGGAAGACATCCTGTCTGGTTCCAGTACCAAAGAAAACTCACCCATCAGCCCTCAATGACTATAGACCTGTTGCCCTGACATCCCACATCATGAAGGTCCTAGCGAGATTCCTGTTGACCCACCTGAGTAAGCAAACAAGCACACATCAGGACCCCCTGCAGTTTGCTTATAGTCGTAGAGTTGGAGTTGACGATGCCATAATACACCTGCTTCAACAAACCCACTGTCATCTGGAAAAAGCAGGCAGCACTGTAAGGATCATGTTCTTTGATTTCTCCAGTGCTTTTAACACAATTCAGCCTGAGTTGCTTTGTCTGAAACTCCAGAAGACTCCGGTGGAGGCCTCAAAAATCGCCTGGATCAAAGACTACCTGACAAACAGACCAGAGTTTGTGAGACTGAAGGACTGTGTGTCTAACCAGGTGGTCAGCAGCACAGGAGCACCACAGGGAACTGTACTCTCACCATTCCTGTTCACACTGTACACTTCAGACTTCCAGCACAAGTCAGACTGCTGTCATCTACAGAAATACTCAGATGACTCTGCGGTGAGAGGCGCCGGGCAGGAGTGGGCATACTTGTTGCCCCCCATCTTGGCGCCTGTACGTTGGGGTTTACCCCAGTGAACGAGAGGGTAGCCTCCCTCCGCCTAAGGGTGGGGGGACGGGTTCTGACTGTTGTCTGTGCTTACGGGCCGAACAACAGTTCAGATTACCCTCCCTTCTTGGAGTCCTTAGAGGGGGTACTGGAGGGTGCCCCTCCTGGGGCACCCTCCCTTGTTC